GTTCCTTTATTATTTGATAAAAGAAACACGATTATTGATTCTGCAATCTGTTAGTGCAATAGAGATTTATAGTTCGAGTTAAATAAAAATTTTTCTATGTTAAAAGCTGCTGACTAATATATTGTAGTTTTATTTTTTTTTTTAATTATTTTAATTTTATGTTTGCAGTTTGATGCCTCGTTTATTAACGACAGAACCAGTTTTGCGATGATTTTGCAGAGAAGACAACTCCGGTTTTTCTAGTATCATCGCTTCTGAAAATATAGTAACGCGACTGGCAGCTGTATTTCCTACGATATGAAAGTACACAATAACCGTTGAACTCAAGGTTCATTATAATTACGCTGGACTTAATCGGAATGCAGCGAAACCCGTCGTCGTTCTACTAAGAATATGCTAAGCAGAAGGTAACATATGGTAATAGTTACACAGTTTGTTTTGTAGTCAGCACAAGTTTCATCTGATCCCCGCGTATCACGTAAGTCTTCCGCAAATATGTAATACTATCCTTGATTTCATGAATAATTTTGAACGAATGATATATTTGAATAATTCACGATTAAGCTAAAATTAGTTAAAATGAAGAAATTATAATAGTAAACAATTTAAAGAATCAAACGTATATACAATGTCCTTTCAGTTAAATTTTTTTTATGTGTTGCAAACTTAATTTTGTTCTGCAAACTTTATTTTCTCTTGTTACCACAATTATAATAAAAAAACGCAGTATCTCCTTTATATCTTTGAAAATGATTATTTGGAATATGTTATATATCATAAATTCAAGCATCTCGTGTCTACAAGACCTTTCAAAGACCTCGGACGATCGTCAAAAGTAAATCTTCGAAAATTGTCACGATAAAATCCGGCCTTTGCCGTTGTAGTCGCGATGGGACGCGCCGGCGACGGAAGCGGTTGGGCCCTCGGCGTTATTTCAATAAAGCAAATGGAATAGGCTACACGGAGGCGGTATATTTTCCCATAGGATCGAAAAGAGCAGAAGGGGGAGAAAGAAGAGAGGTACGCAGAGAGACCCACGGCAGGCTATGATGGAACCGTCAGTACATCGTGATCCACGCATCATCAACATTGACGACCTCCGTCCGCTTTTTGGCCCCGACGGAGCCCCTCTTCTCGGGGCCATTGCGCCAGTTTACGAGCCTGCAGGGAGATCCGCTGCCTCCTCTCCTCTCTCTCTTTCTCTTCGTCTCCTTTTCCGCGCATCGCTGTCGATCGCGCGAACAACGTCAACGAAATGCGTTTTCGGTAACTCGTGACGTCACCGTCTAATTCACCCTTCACGCCTTGTTAAGCCGCGGTAACGTACCGTTTTACGATTTCGTCGCGCGTCGCCTGCGAATTGGCAATTGTTAATTAGCATTCTCGCGGAAAAGAGGGATAAGGGCGCGTGGTGCTCCATCCCCGGGGGTGGGAAACGCGCTTCCTCCAAAGATTTACGCGACACAACAACTGGCGAGTTCGCTCCCGTACATCCGCTTTACTCGATATGTATTCATCGGCGCGTGTCACGTGCGTACCAATGTCTATTGTTACCTGCATTCGAATTATGCATGAGCTAATATTATATCCATGTATGTATATGTACATGGACGCGTCCTGAGATTATCAATTATGTTGCATATAAAACTGAGAATTATAAAATTAATTACGAGAAACGTGGGTCACTTAATACATAATTATAAAAATTATCAATAATTTTAAATTAGATTTCAATTCGATATTAATTGTACAAATACATTTTTTGATAATTAAATTTATTCAAAGAGTTTTATGTAAAATATTAATTGTAACAAATTAGCAACGTGCAGCAATGTGCTTTGTTCTACTCGATATTAATGATCAAATAATAAAAAATACGTTACAAATGTGTGCAATTTAATGAAAAAATTATAAAAAAAAAGTTTTGCACGTGCTTGAAAGACGCGGCCTCATTAAAGCGTAGGTACACCGTACAACATGCGGGTCATTCGTAAATTAATAATTCATCGACAATTAGCCCTTCGCAGGTGGTCAGAATAAAATGCAAGACAGCATATGTTTGCCCTGATGAATCATAGAGAAATTAGCATAACTAACCCGCCACGAGATCATTAGCATATTTGTGTCGATAGACTCTAGTACACCAGGATCTCGCATATTTGCCGCTCGTTTTGTACTTGCTGACAGTAGTTGAAAATTAGCACACAAGAAAATATCATTTTCTCGCATTGTCGCACTGTATATTGCCTTTCGACATGTATACAATTTGCAATTATATATTTTTATTTTAAAAATTGAAAGTTATTATATTTTAATAAGAACTATGCGCAAATCTATGTGTAAAGATGCATTAAAAGAAAACATAAACTCAAATAAATTTATTGCTCTTTTAAGCGCAAAAAAAATATTTCAATGTGTGAACGAGAAAAAAATATTGCCTATAGTTGAATTTTTTCGTCGCATTTAAAAAATATTTCACATAGTCGAGTAAAATGAGAAAAAAATAAAATATCGTTACGGTATTTTAGATACGTCCTGGTCGTCACTCTATTTTTTTTTTCTCTCATACCGTTTCATGACCGGTTATTTCGATCTGCGAACTTTTTTAAACAAACCTAGGTTGCCGTGATTGCGAATCAAACGCTTTCCGGCCAATGACGTGGTCGTGTCGCATCGATATTCCGTCAAAGTAGTAAATCGACGGTGCTGTCGAATCGAGCCGGAAAATATTTAATTACTAAATCCGGAATAGCGGCACGTTGGATTCCTCCCACGCTCGCGATTCCCGCGGGGCATATTCGCTGCAAGCTTCAATCGCCCTATCCCGTGCATCGCACTCCTATTTCGGTTTAATATTTATAGAACGTATGCAGATATCGTAATAAGGTAAATCGATTGTGATTGTGCGTGAGCACATATATGTACAAGTCACCTCATTACGATGTACCGCAGACGAAATGCGTGGAATAACAGAGATAGAAACGTTCCCTTTATGACTGAAGCTTGTGTTATTTACAGCACGGTTGTATATTCGACTAATAGAATACAATAAAATTTATAGTAATTTAGTCAAAATTATTGCACGTTTAATACCCATTTTCACTCGTAATTCGTACATTAACAATCTTGCTATTTGTGTCAGAATTAAATGCAATGTCAAATAAACGTGTCACAAAAAAAATTAATGTCTTTCAAAGTTTGAACTAAAATAGCCAACGTCAAATTATCAATGAATTAATCTTAATTAGATGTCTTTCAAGCTTAATGAATACATAATCCTGTATATAAATCGATCTCATTAGATGATTTGTTCCCATTATCAGACACTACATTGTCGTACATAAACGTGATTCGCGTGTTGCAGAAGTGACAGTAGACGACTGTAGCCTGCAAAATACGCACCGACCGAACGTGCTTGCGTTTCGGAGAAGCCGCGCCGTAGAGAGCGATGCATGCGTAATTAATGAAACCAATAAAGCCGTTGGCACCCGTGGAAATTCGTTAAATTTAATTGGACGCGAGTAATCCCACGGTCGGACGAGGAGCTGCACGAAGAAGGGAGAGAGCGAATTCGTGGCCAGTGAGGGCGGCCAGGTGGATTCTAAACGCGACAGGGGAGAAACATCAAAATCGCGATATCGGCTCTACGGTTGATGGAGAACGAGCATCGCGCACGTGGAATTTACGGATCGTTAAAAGCCGCGGGAATTGGTACTACCGGGAAATAAAGTGTCTCTATAGAGATTGCAAAAGAATCTCATCCACGATATTAATAATGTATTACTGTCTTCACTATGCTGTGTATTTTCACTATATAATTTCGAATAAATATCAATAATATATTTTATGATTATAAAATTAGCAAAATTAAAATTTGTGGCAGCAAAATGCACCATCCTGCAGCCATCTGTTAGAACAGCGCGGAACTCGCAGTCTATCGTTGCCTCGGAAATTCGCAGTGATATTTAGATGCATCAATGATCATGCATTTTGGAATCGCGGTAATAACTACTAACTCGGCGCATGAATATTAATGAATGTTAATATATGGCACGGTCATTGGCGAGGAGCAAGCGCGCGTGTGCTA